ATATATATATATATACACATATATATAATGATACTTGTATAAGCATGATTTTTATATATCGATACCTTAAATAAAGTCACTCATTAAATGTTTTTGTTTTAAATTTATTTAAGAGTTTTCAATGATAAAAAGTTTTCAATGATAGAAACAAAGGCATTCTATGCCTGTAACTCCAGTACATTAAGAATCAAGAAAAATTTACTAATGTGTATTTACCAATGAAAACACCAGTTTTGAGATTGCCCCATTCAAAAAAGCTCCAAACCTCTCATTAAGATATTGAAAAGCCTAATATTCTTAACTCAAAGCCTTTACAAAATGTAACGAGCCAGCAGAGAGATATTTTGTGGATCCATAAGAGATTGATGTGGTAAATTGTGAATTGCTAAAGATTCCAAAACCTTTGCACTTTCCTAAGATATTTGAAGGTCTCTTACAAGATTGTTAAGATTAGCTTGAATTTCAGAATTCTCAGCATCATGTCAGACTTGCTTCAAAGCTGATCAAAAGCCTGGATACATTATAGCTAATTTGTTCTTTGTGTTTAATTCTGTTATGTTGTTCTTGCTGAAGTAAAAATTGAATTGATTGGTTCATGCCACACCATGAGTATAGAGAAAAGAATATTTCTTTTTGAGTAACAATTTTGTTAGCCCAGAATAACATGTTGTTCAGCACTTAGGAGAGGGTCCAACATTTATTCTGGTTTGGTATCAAAACAAATTTGATGCCAAAGTAACTTTGATATGCAGCTTTAGGTCTCTTGGTTTTCTGCTATCTTTTTGATATGCAGCTTTTTTTGATCTTTTATAACTTTCCATAAATGTAACAAAAATTGTATGCATGATTAATACAACCTAATGTCCCTTTCAATGTGATTATATGTATAAAAAAAATCTATTATACAACTTTTTCAGTAATCTAAAAGTAAAAAAAATTCATACAAATTACTCTAATATTACTCTACTTAACAACACCAATAATAACTGATGCATTAACAACAGCTACTATAATATCACAACAGGTTATCTAAAACAGGTACATTTCTAGCTTTAATATGCGATTTTTTTTTTCAATTTATATTTATTTAAGAATAAGACATAAAAAGATTTTGCTAAACGATGGTACAGAGTCCAGGCCTTGTTACGAGATTTCGCTGCGTAACGGAAAAGCGAAACGTGAATAAATGTAACTTTACTCAATAAAGATATTTACATTGTTAAAAGTTAATTTACGTCAGTTGCGTTTTTACTTCATTGTAATTAAATTTAAAATGACATTAAAAACTATTGTTAGTCTTTGAAACGAAATAGCTTTAAATTGAACAATGTTGTTATATAAAAAAAAAATTTCAATGTTGATTAAAAAAAAGTCTTCTTGTATTAAAATCTTATACTTATTTAAACTTAATTTTTTTGCTTTTAAACATTCGTTTTATGGTTGTTTTTTTTAAATTTTTTTTTAAATAATTTAAATTTAACACTTGCTTATGGTTGATTTTCTTAAAGGGATTTAAATTAGGGATGTACCGAAGCTTCGGCTTCGGCATGCCGAAGCTTCGGTTCGGCCGAAGCCAGGTCAATTTTTTGCCGAATCTTTGGCTTCGGCAAAATATTTTAAGTAATAAAAGTTCTAAGCTACTGTTGGACAAGTTATAAAAATACGCTAATTGCCAGTATCTAATTAAGTTATAAATTCAGGACTACAGAGTTAAAGTTGGAATCTATACCATATACTTAGTATTATTTACTCCCAAGTGTTTTTTTATGGAGGGGATAATAATAAATAAGTAAAAATATTTTTATAATAATAATAAAATTAGGGAAGGTCCTCATACACTTTGAAAGCTTCCAAGTGTGACTTTAGATGAATCAGCATTTCTATGCAGAATAAAAATCTTATAATTTAAAGCAAATTAAAAGTTTTTAAAACCTTAATTTGTATTATGTAACAAATTCATATTAATTATTGTGTGGGATTACCGCAAATAGAACAAAATTTGGTTTCAACATTTAACCTATAAACCTTAGTAATCTCTCTTTAAAGAAGATTAAAGATACGTGGCTACTATTTTAAATTGTGTCTAAATTTAATTTTTTAAAATTTTATTTAACCATATTAATAAAAATTTACAAATTTTTATAGTAAATTTACAGAAATTTATTAGGTGTCACTTATATAGATACAAACTAGTCAATGGAGTGACACATAAAAAACGTAAAGTTCTCAACAACAAAAAGGAAGAAAAGCAAATGAAATATAAATGAGGAGAATAAAAAAAGAATAAATAAAATTTTATTTAAAATAAATTAAAGGTTGAAGCTTTGATTACTTTGAGCTCTTATATTTATCATCAAAGTTTATTTAAATTAAATAAACAATTTTAATCAAATAAATATCAGCCTGCTCAGTCCCTGTTTATTTATAAATATAAAGTAAATAATAATATAATTATAAATAAAAAATTTATAAAGTATTCTATTTATTATTTTATTTAAAGCTTACTCTATAGAGTTGAAGCTTTTATCACAGATAGTTAATATTTGATTTCAAATACTGATGCAGATTTATCCATTACAGAGACAGAAGAAGAATGAATACTAAGATTTCAGAATGTAAAAGAGTAAAAGAAGCTAAAGAAAATGTTATGTAGTGTAATGTTAAAAATGATCAAAAAAAAAAATACTTATAAGTATGTAAAAAAGAAGTTAGAGAGAAATCTATCATTTGTACTTTTTTTAGTAATAGGTTCACAACAGTTGTAGTGGAATACAAAATGGTTTTAACTTGGGTTTTTTTTTAGTTTAGAAACTGTTTGTTTAATGAATACAGAGAAGTAAAAAAAAGATATTGAAATAAATAGCAATAAAAAGATAAAGTGTGTTTGTAAAATTTTTTATGTTGTAGATACAACTAGATCAGCTAAGAGTGTTTATTTAAAGAAAGAGTGATCAAGTGCAAAAGATAAATTTACTCTAGTAATGTTCAGAGATTTTTATCCACTTCTATTAACAAAAGGTGCATTAAAAATAAAAATAAAATATACAGCACATTAAAAGATGCTATATGACATTAATATGGTTTGCACACAGAAAAAGTAGAACTAGAAGTAGAAAAATTTTGGGAGAATGTTTCAAAAAAGTTCAAGTTTAAAAGAAAAAACGCTCGGTGCGGTCAAGTATCAGAAACGACATAATGAGAAACTTTCTAACAGGGGCGCTGAGAGCTTTTGCCCTGCCTGGGACAGCAACCCTGACTGGCGTCCTCATTTTTATACAATTTTTTTATATTATTAGTCAAGGACCTTAGTTTTGGTACCTTTTTTGTTTTACACCCCTGCTGATCTGAATGCTGATTAAATTTTTAGCGTATATAGTGCCGAAGCTTCGGCTTCGGCAAAGTGGCTTCGGCCGAAGCTTCGGCTTCGGCAAAATTTTAGCTTCGGTACATCCCTAATTTAAATGTACTTACATAGATTGGGTTTTCCTCTTTTAAAAAAACGTTTGTACTAACTGGTTTTGATAAAATGTTGTAAAGAAACGAAATTTACTGCTTTTTCGGCTTTGTTTTTTCTTATTTCCATTAAAATATTTTATTTTTATGTACAGTGAAACCTAATATTTTTTTACTCAATCCAAAAAAAAAAAAAAAATAGTGTTTTCGGTTTTAAGATGTTATAACCAGAATTTGTTTTTAACAAATATCATTATAATTTTGAAATTTATGTATCTTATATTTATAGCTCAAGTACTAGTTTTGTTTTTAAAATAAAATAAAGATAAATTGGGCTTTTAAAGAGTTTATTTACTGATAGCGTTATTTTTAATAGGTTTGAATTTTGGACCTATTATTATTAATACGTCCTTGGTTTGTTTTATAAAAAAAAATTCTTCGGTAAACAACCCAAACATAACATTTATAACTCGAGTTTAAAAGTATTGACGTCATTTATTATAAAATGAATAATGCGCTTCTGTAAATAATGAATGAAACTGTAAAATAATGGAAAAATAAAAACGGGAAAATAATGCGCTTTTGTTAAGGGCATTATTCAGACCAGTATTTGGAACTTACCAAAAACTTAACTAAAATTAAAATAAAGTTATACGTAATACGAACATTTTAAAGTAACTTGAATTAAATTTATTGAATCTTTTTTTACTTTGGTAATTTTATCATAAAAAAAACGGAGCATTTTAAAATTAAAAAATTTTAAAATGCTCTGTTTTAAAATTAAATGAATAAATTTTAATTAAACTTAATAAATTTATTTAATAAAAACTATAATTATTATATAATTATAATTTTTAAAAACTATTAAACAAATTGTTTCTTTAACAAAAAATCTATTAGTTTACAATTGCGATTAAATGCTTTTACTAACGACTTTAATACTTCCGAATGAACGTCACATAAACGATATAAAAATTTAAAGATAAAAGTTTTTGCGTAACGCTTAAGTGCTGAACGCGTAGGCAAATTTTGCAAAATGCGAGCTGCGTAACGCTTCTTAACAAGGCCTGAGAGTCCAAGCTTGCCTTAAAGGATAACTTTAATCTGTAATCTAGCTTCTGAGATAAAATAAAAAATTTAATACCTTTAACATTAGATGTTATCATATCGCATTAATATCTTTCTAGAATGAAAAGAAGCTATCTATCAGGAAAATTTGTCAGGTGAAAAAAATGAAAAAAAATAAGGCAAATATTGGAAAAATTTTAGAATTGATGTAAAAAAAGTTATTGATTAATTTAAAATTGATATTATAGTGATAAAATTGTTCCATTAAAAAATTCAAACTAGAACAAACCAATTTGAGGTCACTCATAAGCTGTGAGGTCACTCACGGCATGCTAAACAATCAACTACCTTAAAATTAATTATCATAAATAAAAATTCTATAAAATTATACAAGTATACAAAATACACAAATATAAAAATATGAACAATAGACTAGCATGTTAGTTTCAATTTTCTAAGCTAAAAATTTAAATAAATACTTGGACAGATGTACTAGCGCCATTTGTGAGAACTATATGTTCTGAATTACAAGGAAAACCATCTCGACGAGCAATAAACTTTGCAACATTCTTTTTAACAACAGCCAAACCACCAATATCACCATAGCAACCCATGCTTTCTTTGATAGTACTTAGAATTTTATTTGCTCTTTTTTTTACATCAGAAGGAAAGATATTTTTGTTAATTAATGGAGGATATAAACATGCAGCAAGAAGCTGTAAAAAAATAAATAAATAAAATAACAACGCAGTTATAAATAGCAAGATACAATTAGTGTACAAAATATATACCTGCCGAACAAATGTAATTTGTTTTTGTCCCATGTCCCATGCAATCACCAACATATGCTTTAATTATTGTTTCAAATGGAAGTTTTTCTCCCTGTAAATAAAAATGAGGCTAAGTATTATTTCTTTGCTTATCATGAAGAAAAATTCTTCAGATTCATTAAAGTAAAAATTTCAAACAAATTTCGCATATTAGTTCATATATTTGTTATTCAGTGTTGTTGCAAATGCTTTATTTTTAATTGCTTATAATTATCTTATACCTAACTTTATTTTGGTTTTATACCCAATTTTATATTGATCTTATACCCAATAGTTTTTTTGGTCTTATACCTAATTTTTTATTGGTCTTACAACTAATTTTATAATGGTTTTATACCTAAATTTATAATGGTTTTATACCTAATTTTATATTGCTATTATACTTAATTTTATATTTCTCTCAAATTTAACTTTATATTGAATTTGTAATTGCTTAAAATGGTCTTATACCTAATTAAATGTTTGGTTAATATTAGTCTTTATTTTTTAACAACTTTATATATAGTCAATATTAGACTTTATCTTTTTCTAAGACAATTACAACCTGTAATTACAAACCATGACATTTAATTTATCTTTCATAAAGTAAACTTAATAATTTTATCATTAATTTTCTTCAAAAATTGTTTTTAAAAGAATTTTTTTTTATTCTTTAATTTGCTCCTACTTTTTTTTTTACCTAGCATTTTTTTACTTTAACAATTAACCAGTCTTTATACAATCTTGTAAAATGTAAAGTAATGCATTTCGGATATAACTAAATATAAATATAATATTGATAAAGTTATGCTAGAAGAAGTAAAAGTTTAAAAAGATCTTGTTATTTTTATCTCAATTTTGATTGGAGTCACCATCAGGGTCGTACCAAAGGGGGAGGGTCCCACCCCCTCAAAGCTGCACATATAAGCATTTGAGTTGGCACATTGAGCAAGTTTTGAACTATAGTTGGCAAATTGCAAATATTGAGGACCTTTTTTTTTTTTTGGTGTTTCTAGTTGGCAAAAAAATATGGACAGCCCTGGTCAACATATATTCTATGTGATTGATATAGCAAATAAACAAATAGGAAGAATTAAGCATGCATTTGAATATATAGATATTATGAATATATAGATAAGTATTATTAGTTTATTATACAAATCATTATTTTGCCCCAATCTCAAGTATGGAGTAGTTATTTGGAACCCCTAATAGGAAAGGAGAAATTAATAGACTTGAAAAAGTTCAAAATAGAGCGCCCAAAATATCATCTTTAATTAGTCATGGTCATGAAGAAAGAAATAAAACTAAAATTGCCTTCATTAAAAACAGAAGACGGGGTGATTTAATCCAAATGTTCAAATTAGTAATACGAATTGACAAAATAAATTTGCATAACCAAATTAAATATTTTAGTACTAATGGTTGACCAAGAAACTAATGGTTGAGCAGGAGGTCATAAATTAAAAATGCATAAGGAGTCAATAAAAAATACAAAATAACTACAAGTTAAACACAATCAGACAAAATTTTTTCACTAATAGAGTTGTAAACAACTGGAATATACTAACACGAGAAATCATAGAGTCAACAAAAGTAAATCAAATTAATAACCACATTGATAAATATGTTAAATTTTAACATCAAATTTCAGATCTTTCATATTGTTTTTAATTCTTGTTAAATTTTTTGGCTGTTATAGACTGAAATTCTACGCAATTTCAGTTTCAACTCTGATGAGAGTCAGTATCATTTCTATGAAGAATAAACAAAATTTAAATATTGAACAATATTTAGGAGTATTTTAAAATAAATTTGACTGTTAAGTTAAACCAAAAGCATTAATTTTAATTTTAATAAACTTGAATAAATTTTTTAAATCAAAGTTAAATTATATATTTTTTAAATTAAATTTTTTTTTTTATCGGAATAAAATTTTATATTTTTATTAAATTAGTTTTAAATTATATCATAATAATATGATCTTTGCTTCAAACTTAAAGTTTTTCAAGTTCGAAAAACCAATCATTACAAAAAAAAAAAAAAAAATTTAATTTATGAGTTTTTTCATTAGTAAATAGCACTTATATCTAACATAATTGTCATTTAAACTTTTGTAACAAATATTTTTTCTTTCAGACAAGGTGCAAAAACAATGCGTTTTTGCACCTTGTCTAAAAGAGAAAGGACATCATTAGAAGATCCGTTCCAGATATGGCAACAGTATTCAATACAAGGCCGGATTTGAGATTTATAGAGATAGAGAATAGAATCCAGAGTAAGAAAGTGACGAGCTCTATAAAGAAAAGCAACTTATATATATATATATATATATATATATATATATATATATATATATATATATATATATATATATATATATATATATATATGTATATATATATATATATATATATATATATATATATATATATATATATATATATATGTATATATATATATATATATATATATATATATATATATATATATATATATATATATATATATATATATATTATATATATATATATATTAAGGTCAGGTCAGGTTTTCCTGCTACTGGTAACATGTAACCCAGTACAACCTGCTCCATGTCCTGCTGCCTTGTAGGATACGCTTTTTTAGGCAAAGGCTAGGAGAAGTTAACTCCGAATTAAAACACCCCCTGCCTTGGGGCTCTTGGTTGAGTAAAGGCTAGAAATGGTGTCTTGATAAAAATACTCATCTTGGGCAGATGTTACATGCATCCAGCTGCTGTCTTGTAGAAGACCTCCTAGGCAAAGACTTAAGGGGTAAACAGATTCTATCTGTTGACCAGCCTCGCACCCCTTCCTCATCTATTAGGCTGGCGCAGATGTATTTTTAATACATTGTTTCCAGTTTAGGATGTTGAACGCTGGATCTTCTTGACTCAATTCATGGGTTTTGCTTTTGTCTCTGTTTTTATGACTAGGCAACTCATTCCATTATCTCCAAATGAGGGTACAGCTCTAAAACTCAGTTTTAGGTAGTCAGATTTCCTGAAATCTGTGGTAGCTCTCAGAGACGCTGATTCCATCAACAGCTGAAAAATATCAGAGTACTAACAGTGCCATGTTGCGCATGGTTGGTGTCCCTGTTTGTACTTTTGGTGTGCATTGCCAAGGCCACATTGGAACCCTTTGTTACGGCTTAGGGTTTATTAGTGGAAATGAGGCAATTGCTTGCACTATAAGACAGTGTACTGAATACTATCTATGTTTCGAGTCAAGTTCTTTAACAAATTTAAAAAATGAATAAAGTAACAAAAACTATAAAACACAAAAAACCATCGTCATCACCAAGTTCTCTAAACCTATCATTTACTAATATTCGTGGTCTTCGAAGTAACTTTTCTTCTGTTGAGTCTTATCTCTTGCAAAGTTCACCAGACCTACTTGCTCTTTGTGAGACTAATTTGAGTTCGGCTGTCCCATCTTGTGATCTTAGTGTTGATGGTTATCTTCCTTTAATTCGTAAAGACTCCAATAATCACATGCTTGGCCTGGGCATCTACATTCGTAAGAACTCACCCATTTGTCGTGAAACTAGGTTTGAATCTACAGACTATTCATTTATGTGCTTTCGTTTAGCACAACTTCACTCTATCGCCTTTCTCTTTGTTCTATATCGCTCTCCTTCATCCCAAGATTGCACTATTCTTGATGTTATTTCTGATCAAATTGACCAAGCCCTCTCTCTTTATCCATCGGCCAATATCGTCGTTGTTGGTGACTTTAATGCCCATCACACCGATTGGCTTGGCTCTAGTGTCAGTGACTCTGCTGGCGTTAAGGCCCTCAACTTTTGCCTTTCTCAATCTCTAACTCAAATAGTCAACTTTCCAACTTGTTTTCCAGACAACCCTAATCATTTACCTTCTCTACTCGACTTATGTCTTGTTTTGGATCCTAGTCAGTGCTCAATTTCTCCACATTCACCCTAAGGTACTTCTGATCACGGTTTGATCTCTCTAAAACTATTATCAAATTCTTCTACTTCATCAGAATCCCCCTATCATCGTACCACATACAACTACCTTAAAGCTGACTGGGACTCTTTCCGTGATTTTCTTCGTGATGGCCCTTGGGTAGAAATCTTTCGTCTTCCTGCTGACAAATGTGCTTCTTACATAACTTCGTGGATTCAGGCTGGCATGGAATCTTTTATTCCCTCTCGACGATTCCAGGTCAAGCCTCATTCTTCTCCTTGGTTTTCCTCACATTGCGCTGCAGCAATTTCTAATCGAAACCGTTACTTCCATATCTATCAGCAAAACAATTCTCCAGAAAACAGACATCTGTTCACTATCGCCAGAAACAATTGCAAAAAGATTTTGTCTGACGCCAAAGCTCGCTATTCCCAGGTCATTAAATCTCGTATCTCATCACAAAAATTAGGCTCTCGAGACTTCTGGAGAATCTTTAACAGTATCAATAATAAGGGCAAATCTGTTATTCCTTCTCTCTTGTATGGTTCAGACTTTGTCACCTCACCTAAAGACAAAGCTGAATTGTTTGCTAAGAACTTTTCATCAATATCATCTCTTGATTCCACTAGTTGCGTTTTACCTGACATAGCCGTCAAACAGGTTGATCCCTTGCTTGACATTCGCATCACTTCAGCTTCTGTATCTAAAGTAATTTCCTGCTTAGACTCTTCAACAGCTTGTGGTCCTGACAACATTCCTGTTGTAGTTTTGCAGAGGTGTTCTCCGGAGCTTTCATCCATACTTTCTAAACTATTTAACAAGTGCTTATCAGAGTCTTGTTTTCCATCATGCTGGAAAGCAGCATCTGTTATCCCTATTTTCAAAAATTCCGGAGAGCGATCTGATTCATCTAACTACCGTCCCATTAGTCTTCTTCCTGTCATAAGCAAGGTTTTTGAATCTTTAATCAACAAACACTTAATCTCTCATCTTGAATCAAATAACTTACTTTCTGATCATCAATATGGATTTCGGTCTTCTCGTTCTACAGCTGATGTGCTAACAGTAATAACCGATAGGTTTACCATGCATTAGATAGAGGTGGAGAGGTTAAGGCTATC